TGGTGGAGAGAAGTGAAGATGTGTAAATTGTTACTTACGAGGAAGCGACACATGGCCGGTGATGTCCTTATTTGGCGCAATCGGAGTGTTGTTGTAGGGCATGGTGAAGGAAGACGTTGGTGGTCTGGTGAAATGGGCGCTGGATCGATGAGTCCTCCCAGCGTGCTGTTTGAGGCTAGTTGCGTGTCCAAAATATGAATAGCCAAGTATAACTGTGGGTAGTGCGAGTTGACACGTTCCAGTCGCGAAAATCGGCCAAGAGAGATGTGTAGTCGCGTGCAGTAGTCGTGTTGAAGATGTCGTGTACACTGGTCGATGCAGGGCGATCGCCGCGGGCTGCTCCAGCCGAGGAGGGCGTCATTAGGCTGCTCCTCTTCGTCAGCAACCAGCCATCTTATCTTCCTGCTGCCTGCGTGATCCTCAGACGATAAATACGTGTGCGTGATATCTTCGTCCTGTCTTGACTCCATCAATTGTATTCCGGTGTATTCATCTCGTGTCGAGCACCAATTGTCAGCCCATCAGGGTACACCTGCCAACCATGAAGCTCTTCATTACTAGTCTGCTCGCCGCGACTGCAACAGCGTCCTTGTTCTCCCAAATCCCGTTCCAGGAGAAACCAGAAGTGGAAGGCTTCCAGGTCTACCAAAGTCCATTCTCCGAGCACCATTCGATTCGCATAAAGCATCAACAGAGCGACACGATCTGTGACGCGCGCTCCAAGCAATACACCGGCTGGTTAGACATCGGCTCAAAGCACATCTTCTTCTGGTACTTCGAATCACAGGACAAACCCTCCGAAGATCCGCTCCTGCTATGGCTAACAGGAGGACCGGGTGGCTCAGGCATGCTTGGGCTGATGGGCGAACTGGGACCTTGCACGATCAATGAGTTTGGCAACGGTACCGTACACAATGAATACGGATGGAGCAAGAATGCCAACATCATCTTTGTTGACCAGCCCGCTGGTGTGGGTTTCAGCTACGTCGATGAGGGCATCCCGCTTCCTGCGACAAGCTTCACGGCTGCTGAGGATATGCATCACTTCTTACAGCTGTTCACGAGCGAAGTCTTCCCGGATCTTTTGAATCGCGACTTTCATATCACAGGAGAAAGTTATGCTGTAAGCACATGTTGCTAACCCCGCAAGACACTCACTAATCGAAGATAGGGCCACTACGTTCCAACACTCGGCGCAGAAATTGTCACGAAGAACCTTGAATATCCTAAGCGTCCGCAAGTCAATCTCAAGTCGACCTTCACGGGCAACGCTTTTGTCTCACCTCGGGACACCAACTTTGGTTTCTGGGAAACGCTGTGCACTACGAACCCCGGTGTGGAGACTCCCGTATTCAACCAGACCCGTTGCGACATCATAGCTACCAACCTCCCTCGCTGTATGGCACTTATCGACGTGTGCTACAAGAACCCTGATCCAGCCATCTGTCTCGCAGCCGACAACGTATGCATGGAAGGCGTTGTGCTCCTTTACGATGGAGAGTCTGGAGCAGGAGGTCGCAACCGATTTGATATCACGGACGGGTGCGAGACGAAAGACGAGTTCTGCTACCCAGAGATCCAAAGGATTCAAGACTACATGAACGTGCCCAAGGTTTGGGAAGCGCTTGGCGTACCCAAAGCTATAGCCAACTACACAGGGTTCTCTTTTGATATTGCGTTGGCTTTTGAGCTTACTGGGGATCTGGTATTCAGCATGCAGCCTCAGGTTTTGTATCTTCTTGAGCATGGCATCGACGTGCTCTTCTATCAGGGTAATTTGGACCTTGCTTGCAACACCGCAGGGAACTTGCAGTGGGCTAGCACGATGCAGTGGAAAGGCCAACCTGCTTTTGTCGCACAGCCAAAGAGGTCCTGGGCACATGAGGGCAAGGAGGTGGGGTGGTTTAAAGAAGTCAAGACCGTGACTACAAGCGGCAGAGATACCACATTTGCGTTCGCTACGGTGAATGGAGCAGGCCATCTGGTACCGATGGACAAGCCGAAGGAAGCGCTGGCGCTTGTTGATAGATGGATCACAAAGAGGAGCTACGCGTAATTGTCGCGTGATGGATACATATTGTGTTCTGCGCAAGGCCGCACTTAGCCCAGCAAAGGATTCCGCGATCGCAATATCTAGGCATGCAATTTTCGTCAGCCCCAGTACCACATCGGCTTCATGCATGTCATCAGGCTTCTTGCGTTTGGCGCCCGAAATATCCATGGGTTGGTGTTTGTTTTCCCCACCATGATGTAATTGCTACCAGCTACGTCATCATGGGTCCTAGCCTCTGCGCAAACTTCAGACCCTTAATAAAGAGGGGAGAAGACACTCTCACCCAACAACAGACACAATCAATTGCCACTTCCCACTTCAAACTACACTTTACAAACCTTCCACTTCTTCCCACTTCCACCAACACACACATACAACATGTCTGGAACTTCCAACGTCGGTAACAGTGCGGTCTACGAGGCCCAGGACCAGGTCACCAGGTCCAACGCCGAGATCGAGCAGGAGAAGAAGGAGGCCCGCTTCCACGAGGGCAAGGAGCACTCTCACAAGGCCCAGGACTCCAGTATGTTTCTGTCGGCCTCGCATGCGTTTTCCTTTATCGATATGCGGCGTCATCAGCCATCTCTTACAAGACCGTTTACTAACGATCACCCACAGAGGACGAGCGATCCATCGCCAACAAGCTCGAGCGCGAGGAGAAGCGTGAGAAGGAGGGCGAGGAGAAGTCTCTCGAGGACCGCCAGCGCGAGCAAGATGCCACCCTTCCCGCACGCGCACACGGCAACGAGCCCTCCAAGGGAGCCAAGATCGACCAGGAGCTGAGGGAAGAGGACGAGGCTATGCTCAAGAAGAAGGGCGCCAACTAAAGTCGTTGTGATGAATGACGATTTCGATACCCCGCACACATACTCAGCGTGTTAGGAGTTGGAGGAGGAAATAATGACTTGGATTGACGATAAAACGTCTCCATGAAGCCCGCCTGAGACATGGCAAAGGCATGAATCAAATAATTTCAACTCAACATGTATTGCCGACAGTGTGTGACTGTGAGATGGTTGAAGCCAGGTCCTCGTGCCTTGACGCGAGAGCTCTCCACATTGTCGTGCTTACCCCTCGGTGCCTGACTCGTGCAGCCTCGGAGATAGGCCGATGGCGACCTCATAACCGCTGCCTCCTGTCTCCCAATCCCCAATCGCCTGCCCCACGTCCTGCAAACATCAGTTGCTGCATTACAAAGCATTGCGGCGTACATGCCTAATCTCTCGTCATCTCGCCAATTCCTCCGCACTGCTACTGCCTTCGCCAAAGCTCCCTTACGGCCCCGCCTCGCACCTGGAAGCACCCAGCTATCGAACATCCTCCAACAACATACCGCAAACATGTCGACAAAGATGGCAGAGCGCCTAAAGGGGAAGACTATCGTCATCACCGGTGCTTCTTCTGGCATTGGCAAGTCCACAGCAATCGAATTCGCCCGGACACAGCCCGACGACCTCAAGCTTATCCTCACTGCGCGGCGAGAAGACACATTGAAAGAGGTCGCACAGGAAATTCAAGGCTTTGCAAAAGGCGTCAAGGTCCTACCAGTCAAACTTGACGTCAGCAAGCCGGACGAAGTCCAGAACTTTGTCGGAAATCTACCACAAGAGTACAAGGACATCGATGTGCTCGTCAACAACGCGTATGCCACCACCTCTTCAAATACCGCTTACTGTCTGCTAACAATGAATCTAGCGGCCTTGTAAAAGGTGTTGCGCAAGCTCCCGACATCTCACCCGCCGACATCGACACCATGTTCAGCACAAACGTGACCGGCCTAATCAACATGACGCAAGCCATCCTACCCATCTTCAAAGCGCGATCCACACCCTCCGGCGACATTATAAACATTGGTAGTATCGCAGGTCGCGAGCCCTACCAAGGCGGATCCATCTACTGCGCTACAAAGGCTGCTGTGCGCTCCTTCACAGATGCCATGCGCAAGGAGCTTATCGCTACACGGATACGCGTCATCGAGATTGATCCTGGACAAGTTGAGACAGAATTCAGTGTAGTCAGGTTTGGAGGCGACAAAGAGAAGGCGAAGAAGGTCTACGAGGGCGTTGAACCGCTGACACCGGAGGACATCGCGGAGGTTGTGGTATTCGCTGCGGGACGGAGGGAGAATGTGGTGTTGGCTGATAGTCTGATCTTCCCGAACCACCAGGTATGTACAACCGGAGGAACGAGACATAGTACACTAACGTTGTATAGGCGGCAGCGACAGTCATGCACCGGAAACCTACCGGTCAGTAGATGCGGCGATCGATGTGTACATAGCGACTACTTATCCGCAGTTCAGAGACGAAGCAAATATCCAGAATTCGACCTTCGTTATGAAAGACCTGTTTGCTGGCCACGACCTACCTCATGTTTCATGCTTGCGACTCCATCTCATCCCGTCTCCTCACAATGTCTCTCCCTTCTTAATTCTTGTCTCCACATTCACGCGGACTGTCTTCGAAACAGGTGAAAGATGAAAATATAGCTTGGGCCCTGCCCCGCCGTTGCTGTGGTGAGCGCTGGCAAAAGAGAGACCCGCTTCTGGATAACTCAAACGCTCACACAGTTTTTGTACACACCGACCCCATTTGTACCCCACTATAGTGGTGAGCGACCACGCCTTTCGTCCCACATCATCTCGACACTCAACTCAAGTAGCTGGCCATCATGCAAGCCGCGCGCGTTTGAGCGCCAGGTTTTCTACCACCACGGACGGAAGCACAGCAGTCAACCGACAGACGACATGGCGCGACTACGAGTTCCCGCATCGCCAGTTGAAACTCGTCGCGCGAATTATGCCTATGAAGGAGCCGGAAACAAGACGCCCAGCCGACCTAATCATTCAGGCCCACAGCCTGAGATCAATGTAGCCTTCGATTCGTCTGCCAATGATCCCCCTGAACATCCCACTTCCTTTCCGCGCATTGTAAGGAGCTTCGCGTTAATGGACGTGAAGACAAAGCGAGATGTACAAGGTTACATTGTCGGACAGTACAAGGCCATTAAGCAAATGGGCCACGAGCACATCACCGCGACTGGCACCAAAACAGTCTTCTTCCTTGGTCAAGCACAACAAGAGGAAGAGTTCGACATATTAGACGAGGATATGAAGACCGACCTGGGCGAGTACATCAACGAGGATGAGGATGCGGATCGCTCATGGCGTGGGGTTTGCGACTTCATGCAGAAAATTCCGACCTCCAAGGCTGTGGCGCCGACAGAGTTCAAGGATAAGAACATTTTGGACACTGAGACACCTCATCAAGCCCGCTTGATGCGTGCCCAGAGTGCGCCCTCTCTGGCTCGATGTATCGCGAATGCTAGCTTTGACAGCGCCGGATCAGAGACAGACTCTGACTCAGAAGACGACGACATCGATCTTGAACTGAAAATCGAGAACGCACTCTCGTCCTTTGCTAAAAAGGTCGAGGAATTAGAGGATGTAGCAGGAGCGCTGTCAATCACGCCACCCGGCCGCACATATTCTGAAGCTCACCCATTTACACCATCGCCTCCCAAGGACATCGATATACCATACCCCTGTGGACCAAAGCACAACTCTCGACTTCGTCGTCATAGCGGTAACCGTTCACTCGCATCACTGATCGCTCACGTTGAGGATCACCGTACGCCTTCGTGCTCGTCACTTTCTGCTTCGCTTTCTTCGTGCCCACTACCTGCAGGTACCACCTACAGTGTTATCCGTAAGCCCTGCTACGACCCAAACTTTGAGGGTCACAGCCCTTGCGCCACGCATGATGAGGGAAGCTGCGGACTTTCAGCTGATGACGCTCTGGACATGCTACAAGAACGCTTTGGAATTGTACATTGCGCTACTGTTGGCACCGGCTTTGATTGTCGCGAATGGCTGGAATACAAGCTTGAGACCGGGTGCAGCATGGTACATGGCCCGTCGTTGCTACGATTTGGGACGAACTGTTATGGACCTGAAAAGCCCGGGCAGATCAAAGACGCGGGTGATAGCCCGTACGCTAATCAACCCGAAGCTACGGCTCGGATTCGCACTTCGTCTTCTAACGATACCCTGAATACCAAATCGTCCGTCCAAAATTCAGTGTTCTCAAAATGCACTTCGAGGACTTCCATTTCGTCTTACCGGACCAACCGTCCACAGTCTGCACGAACTGAACATTCTCGGCTTATGAGCGCACTTGGCCCAGACAACGATACTGGAAAGTGCGGACATGGCTATGAAATCTCTGCAAAGACAGGGTGCAATTCTTCTGTCGCAGGTATTGTTCCAAAAAGCGAACACTTTCAAGGTTGTGCAGGTGGCACTGTGCGGGGTGGGAAGGTTGCACTCGATCCACCTATCACCACTACCAAAGAATGGTCTAGTGGGCTGCAGACGTGGGAGGGTGAAAGCTGGCCCAACGCACCCGAGCGCATTGGAAACGACTTTGAAGACGCCCAGAACTCTATCACGAGGAATGAATCCGAGGACTGCGACGTAGAAGAGCTCTCACAGCTACGTGCGTCGCTGACGGAAACTACGGACAATGACGAACCCATGTGGCCTGAAGTCATCGCCAACCGCCCGTATACGGCTCCGCTTATGTACGAGGAAGCCGCCGATTTTATTGAACATGTCGCCACTAATCCGGATGTTGATTCCGAATGTTGGTCAGAACCCTTGGATGGTTGCGCGAAACCGCGTCGCAAGTGGACTAGCAAGATGAAGCATTGTCTCAAGAAAATACCCCAAAACACAAAGCAGGCTACCCACGACTATGTCAAAGCGACGAAACGATTCTCACGGACTGCTTGGCGCGTGTTGCCAGCTGCGCTGTCGAGCCGACATCCGTTCCAGAAGATCGACAGCATCCTCTAGATGGTCGGCTGGGGAACTGGATCTGCGTCGGAACTCTTTAGGTGATCCGACTGGTCTCACGGACCGTTCACGCTGCCTCCGCAATCCACCCAGAACGATGGTTCGGCGAGCGTTTGGGCCCACTTCAGACCGAACATATGTTGGGGACATGGTAGATGCGTTGGAATTGATTGGAAAGCCCCTGTGAAACGCTTTTCATTGGACGACACAGACATATTTTGTAGAGCATCTTTGCTTTTACTTGAATTCTCTTTTGGCGCGCTATGAAACCTCGATTCTAGATACCCACCTGCATGCATCAGTAGCATTTCCTGTATGAATATAAGCCCTGCCATGTGCCCTCATTGCAATTCAAGCATTTTGTGTGAATTCCAAAGTGTGGTCGTGAATGACTAAGTCCACGAGGAGTGAACCCTGGTTTGATCAAGGGTCATCCACTGTCGCGACGTCACCACACAACGCTCTCACTTGCCAAAATGTCTTCGGTTTCTCATTCTTTACACATTTCACTAATTAGCCCGCTCGTTGTTTCCCTCTTTACGAACGACTGCGCATCGACCACCACCGCGCACATTTCCAACGCCAAGACTGTGTAAGAAAGCGGACTCTCACCATCGCACACCCACGAACAAATTTGCAACTGTCTAGTTTACGTCACTCTTTCCATCACATTATCGCGTAGTTCCAAACGCACTGCGATCTCGCCGGCCATTACTGAACTCGATCCGACAACGACCCTTCGGTTACCACTTACGATCACCAAACCAAAACAGTCACACAAGCAATCATGGCTTCCGACACAGTCACTAGTGTCAACCAGAAATTCAACTGGGCCGACGACGACGAGGACGAATTTGACTTGGATAGCTGGAATGCTACCGTCGACACCTCCGCGCCCACTGCCGCCGAGCTAGGCCCTCTCCAAGTCGCTCCCACTGGAGATGACACGAAGGAAGGCGAAGTCTACACGCTATCCCGCATCTCCAACGAGCGCGCCTATTTGGATCCTCCCGCCATCCAGGAGTCGTCAGACGCGGAGCCTACCCCGGAGGCAGAGGCAGAGCCAGTTGTTGAGCCGCCAGCTGAGCACTGGCATATCGCCGTACTTGGCTGCAGTCCAGAACATCAGGTCATGTCTGCGCGGTACAATCTTATCACGCACGCTATTGGTCCTTCCTATGAAGGTAAAGAAGAGTCCGACGTCCCAGCCTATCCAGAATTGAGTGAGTACCCGGGCCACCGGTCTTACTATGCGAGAGGGTTCCGGGACTGGAAGATGAAACATAGAGGTTTCTCGTCTAGAAGGGTCTATCGTAACTCACCCTTGAACATCGTCACTTCCATCGACAATGCGCACGAGATCGATGACATTGCCGACCCCGAAGAAGGGGCGGTAGAAGACGCCGATCGCGAGATGAACGAGGAGATTGATCGCATGATTGATGATCAAATCACCAACCACATTGACCAGTTCCAGTGGTTCTCCAGGACAGAACTTGAGAACTTTTACCACCAGTTTAAGGCTCAGGAGCAGAAAGCCGAGACTGGAGACGACGCTTCAGATGATGATGATAGCGATTCGGACGACGGCTGGGATGAAGAGGCTTACGAGCCATACAACGGTCCTGTTCACGACGAAGAGATGTCGCCGACAACCACTGCATCAGTGGAGGACAAAGAAACAACGTTCGCGATTACCCGCCCATTCGCCGACAAAGAAGAGGAGCTGGACTTCAACGACGTCGTATTTGGAGACGATGACGGGTGCGATCAGTCGCAGAGTCAGGATGAAACCGACTCTGAGTCCAGCGATGAGGGCTATGTTTCCTCTTCGCCACCAGACACTCCCTTTTTCGAAACCTTCAATAAAGCGGACAGCTTAGGGGCGCAAAACGCCTTCAATTCCATCAATGCGCGACTAAGCATGTCATCCAGGCGCCGCAAGACGCTTTGTCGGACGGAATCCATGGACGCGCTCAAAACGTTTAGACAAACTGCCAAGTTTGAGCAACGTGTCGACGACGCTTTTGAAGACGATGAAGACAAAAAGGACTTTGGGGATCTACAAGAAACCTTCGGCATCGATGATGAGCTAAATACATCATCGGATACCATGGAGAGCACAGACTTTGTCCTCGTCGTTACACCACCCGAAGATGAGCAAATCACGCAAGACTATCTTTCCAGCCCTGCGATACCTTTATCTTCAACAAGAGCCACTGTATCCGATTTGACTGAAGAGGATGATCAAGTCGCTTCTGTCGAAGACGAATCACGCGGTACCCTCAATTCAGCCTTCACTTTCCCTAGCATACCCGCTGGTGAAGCCTCCCTCCCAAAGGCAGAGATTTGTACCGCAGACACGGTAATCGACACTTCCAAAACCTCCTCCCGGCGCTGGACCGATCCTCCAAAATACGACCCCACCTTTCCTTCAATTTCGCCATTGTCCAGTGGTCGGCATACGAAGCATGCAAAGCATAGCTCTGTCTCACTGGACTATGTTGTCGGCGCCATCTCAAAGAGCTGGCTCTACGTGGGCCAAGTGCCCTGGACGCACATCGGTATAATGGGCGCTGGAGTTGTCGCCGGCGGATTATTAAGCATGGCGGGGCGTACCTGAGTGAGCCCGCTCTTCCTTTCTGTTTGTTCTTTTCTTTTCTCAAAATTTGGCTGCAACGTTAGCGGAGGCGAAGTCATGCTGGCATTGCTGCTGGCATTGCTGGTGGCGTTATATACCCGGTGTGCTGTTCACCCACACAAGATTATGTGTCTCAAAAAGTACAAAAGTTAAACATTAATCAAGAAACGTAATTCCTATAGTAAGAATCCACCAAACCATGTGACCGCTCCGACGATATCACCATATGCAAGTACAGATGAGACAGTAAAAGCTCAACTCTCGAGGCACAATCAATATCTTCAACAAAGCGAATGTCATTTGAGAGCTGCTGTATCTACATCTGACTCACCGCCTTCAGAGCGACTACCCAGACATCTCAAGCATTACAAGCAAGCTTCCTCCTTGCTTAAACAGGATGAGCGACCTTGGCCGTCAACAGGCCCCTGATGTTTCCAACAAAGAAGCTCAAAATGAAACAAGCACCACCGAAAGCGATCGAGATCCAGTATGGCCACCTGTACGCCAACGCGAAAGCTTCTTGGGAAGCACGTAGGACAACAGGGAATGCATCTCTCTGCAGCACTTCCTGGTTGGTAGCAAAGATCTCCTTGACTTCCTCGAACCTAGCATTACCCATGAGGTTGGTAACGAGGGTGATGACGGCGATTCCGTCGGCCGACAGAGGGTTGATGATGGCGCCATACGCCAATGTCTTCTCCGCGACAATTTCAGTGAGGTGGATGGTGACCTTGCGGAAGAAGAGGTTGGAGTAGACTGCGAAACCAATTGCACCACCGAGGTAGCGGATACTAAGTGTGATGGCTGTAATGGTTGCGATTTGTTCGTCCGGACAGGCGATCTGCGCGATGATGGAGGAAGGAATAATGACCCCACCTACTCCAATGGATGCTAGTGAGATGAGGGCGTACACTACGTTCAGGTTGTCGGGTGTCGCAATGCACATGGCCCCTGTGCCGGCTGTCATCATGGCCGTGAAGAAGATCATCAATTCACGGATGCGACCTTTGGTGGCGGGGATGAGGACGAGACAGATGCATGCACCGCCGATGATGCCGAAGCCGATGGGAAGAGAGCGGATTCCGACGCCAACCGGGTCATCACCTAGACTTATGTTAGTATGGAAGCAGTGGGAGAGATATTCGTAGGTCATGCTTACCATAGACGTTGTAGATTTGAGTAGGCCAGAAGAGCAGCAGGACGAAGTAGTTACCACCACTGAGGAATGTGATAAGAAGGATAACTATCATGGTCTGCTTCGCTTTGTGGAAGATTGCCCTGGGAACCATGGGGTGTGGAGCATACACCTCCCATACGAAGAAGGCGATGATGAGAATGATACCAAGAACGAGAGGGACGATGTTGTGTGGGCTGCCCCATTCATACTGTAGAATGTCAGCACTGCAATGTGACCTGCTTCGGATAGTATACTGACCTGTGATGCACCCCATTGTAGACCCATCATAAAGAGAGTGATACCACATGTGCTCAAGATGCCACCAATGTAGTCGACCTGGCGGAGGACATGACGGGCGGTATACTCTTCCGTCAAGCGCGACGGGTCCTTGTAGCAGAAGACACAGAGTACCAACCCGATAAAGTTCCATACACAAACCAAAATACCATTGTAACGCCAGTTGCTCTGTTGAGCGATCAATTGAGCCCACAACACTGATGGGCAGAAGGGAAGGATGGTGATCACGACAAGACCGACGTACTTGCCGCGATCCTTGATGGGCACGATCTCTGCTGTGCCGGCGAGTGCGATGAGCTCATTGAGACCGGCACCAATTCCCGAGAAGACCTGTCCAGCTACGAGTCGTTAGGTTTGTGATGTTTCAAATAAGGTTGCGGTACTTACCGATAGCGATGTTCATGGTATGCGCAGTCACTGTGATAATCGGCCCGACTATGAGGCACATTTGACCCACAATAGCCACCTTCTGTCGCCCAAACAGGTCGGACAATGCGCCCACAAAAGGACAGAGAGCCGCATTGGGGATGAGGTATCCGATGATGAACCAGATGTATCGATCAACCCCACCAACATCCTGATAGATGAGAGGAAGGACAGAGCCGAAGAGGAAGAGCGGGATCTGAGAGCCGATCCAGAGGAATGACATGCACAGAAGCGTCATGGCCAGCCTTGCGTTCATCTAGGGGTGAATAAGTATATGATCAAACATTCAGGGTCTTACACTCACCTTCTCGTGGACCTCTGGAGCTCTGCTAGTAATGGGCGCCAACCGCTGCTTCTCGGGCTCGCTAGGTGGGGTGCGAGTAGCCACCATCTCGAGTTGGCTCTGGCCATTCTTGTCAACTTCGTAAGAGTGGTCTCCGGATCTCATCGTCTCATGCATCTTGACGGTGCAAAGCTGAGTGGAGGTGCAATCGTGGAGAAAGAAAGTTCGGGACGTTCAAGTAGTTTAATGATTGTCCTGCCCTAGCAAGGCGGACTATCGATACGTCGTCCTAGTCCCCAAAACATTTCCTCGTCTCCCACCTGGCACTGAGATGAATTGACTGAATCGACACTAAGTTCACTCGAGCCGCGGTAACATACTGGTCTGCGCGGGGCTGGGTGGTCGAATGACTAGGGTCAAGACACCCCTCATCCAACAAGGCTGCGCCAACCATGCCGTCTCGCCCGTTTGTAGAGCTGTAGATCATAGTGAAGTGTGTGGCGTGCCATTCGGCGGGGCCCCCGCACCTGGGCACGCTTATTTGCTAGTCACGCTAGTGTCCGGAGCATAAAGCTTGCATCATTGGTGCGGCCGGCACGCCTTTTCTCCTTTACATGAGGCTTGCCTCTTGGCTCTTTATTTCTCGATGTCTTTGGAATAGCATTGTCCCGTTTGGCTTCCTGAAGACCTCAAGGAAGCCCTCCGTTCGAATGCTCTTTGTTGGCCCCGATGCCCAATCATGGAAATCCAGTAGTCTTCTGGTGCGATTGAAGGACTCGAGCCGTGGAATGTGACTCTTATCAGTGCTAGGAAGGACGTCGTGGGAATGTTGGCACAGACGTACCGAGGGCGGCCCTTGAGCGCTTGCAGAATCCTTAGGTAGCGCCCAGTACGATGGGTGGTGTCGATCGCTTCTAGACGCTTGATGCACCAAGCCACAGAACGGTATCTGGAAAGTTACCGAGGAACTTTGAGTTACTACTGTGTACGTCTTCGATGACATACGGATTGGCATGAGCCACTGCCACGGGTGCACATGGGAACTACGCCTTGACGAGGGCTCCGAGGTTTAGGTCGGGTCGGCGTTTGTCGCGCATTCTACTGCCATCGTTTTATGTAAAGTGGCTTCTCGTCTGTCATAGAAATCTGATCGGCTTCTAATCGTTGCACACCATGAAAGCAAATCGTGGAAGCGCTGTTCTAGGTGACGTCGCGAAACGCGAGGATGGTTGTAGTCCCTCCAGAGTAGGTTCTTCCTCGATATGGAATTCTTGTCGTCAGTGTTGAAGTGTGTGGCCAGGCGCTTAACTAGCGATACACTGTCCATTTAGTACAGTGGTCACACGTGGACGCGGTTAACCTTCCGCCCAAAAGGCGGCGATGCGACAGGCAATGAGACGCTCGCAACGACTTTGGCAGCTGCGCAAAGTGAAGTTGGAATTACCTTCAATGATACCATCAGCTAGGATTAGGAAATCCTATGTTACGTTGGCAGTATTACTCTGCTGCGCACCTTGTGACCTTCAAACCCTATTCCGCTCTCTGAGCCAGACATCATGCTGCGATGAGAGAGACGATAGGTAGCTGATGAACTGACTGTAAAATCCGCACATGCTGGCTTTTTTTCGTGCCGTCAGGTTGGAATTTTGCCGAGGCATCAATTACGCTTGATGCTCCGGTCTTGCCCTGCCCAGAGGCCTGACTGTTGTGTCCTTTAGAACGGGAGCCTACCAGCATCTCCGGGCCTTGATCCGTGGTGTTTGGATCGATGCTGTGTGTAAGCCAGGCCCGATACATGGGGACCTGGGGTAGCCTACCCACATCATGGTTCACGGATCACCTAGCCAGTGACAGCGAGCGATGATCACATCGTCGAAAAGAGACATCCGCACAGCACTTAGAGGTTTCCAGATGAGGGAATGGAAGTCGAGTAATATCTGCGAGAACGCTCGTAATGTTGAAGCTTCACATTCGACTAGATGGGAATGAAGACACCAGAACCGGGAAGAGCCGCACCGAGCTGCGCTACAGCGCAAGAAGGCCGCGTTGTAGATTTGTCTTGGTGCTTCCTGCAGACTGAATGATAGGTAACAGCTGGCTCCAAGCTAAAGAAGGGTGTTTGCCCATAATGGTAAATGCACTTGACGATTTGAGTGTCTGACTGACTTCGTTTTTCCCCTCGGCTTCTCCGTGCCTTGTAGCAAGCCTGGTCATGAGATTCCCCGCATGATTCCCAGAAACATGAACCTGCTCAATAGGCCGTAGGCAGCTTGACAGACATGGGAGGTCGACGTTCGAATTGTTGCCCGTCCAGCTTCTTCACTGGCAAGGCCGCTAATCAGGTTTGGGCGACCTTCTTGTCTCTGTAGCTGCATCGGAGAGACAATGGTTCTTAGATGAGGTTGAACTGGGCATCTTTCGTTGATGATTACAATGGAAGGTCACTTGCGAGGTAGTTAGAATGCGAAGAGAAGGAAGCCACGATTAGCGTCTTGGCGCTGCCCCTCTTGCGCGGACGCAGGCACCCCCAGCGTACATCGCCGTACCCATCCTCCGGTAATGTTTTTCGCAGTTATATCCGCGAACGGAATGGCTACATCTTCCTTGAAAGCCCAACATTCTGGTCCCAAAGTCTTGTCGCCAGGTGCATTTGCATCGCTCTCATCTTGGACTCAAGGCCCAGCGCAGTCTCCAGACACGACTGATTTCTGGCGGAAATGATTGAACTTTAGTAGGGTAAAGTTTTGCAGATTAGGCCCGTGTGAGATGAAGAACTCAAACTCTTCAATCACCTTACGAATTGATAACGATACGACCTCGATCGGTTTATTATCACGGGACGGCCGATTGATCGGTGGAATTCCAGCCATTCCCGTGGCTCAGGCGCCGAGCAACCTCGACTAACAGCTGTTGGCACGGTCTCTGTTGCACTAGCTGCCAACTGCTGGGGGTCTGAGTTCCGAAGTAAGAGTACCGTTTGATGTGTGTTCAAACGTAGCAGATGGTTGATGTTTGGCGTGTTAAGTAGATCAGACCCTGGAACTGCGTTCGCGGCATCTTCTCCGCCCAAGCTTCAAGCTGATGACGACAATCGCGTCAGCTATCCCCCGTCATCACCCCGAACGCCAGACACGCGACAACAAACCACCCTGAGCATGAAGGTCGCACCGTTCGGAATTCGGAATGACTGCCAGTGCATCGCGCGCGCGAATGGCTGACTCGTGCTCACCGCAAATAGCGCACCTGTGACCATGAGCGGCTAGCCGTGACTGCGGGGTGCACGCCCTTCGCGGACTCAGCATGGGAGCAGGCATGGGACTTTGTGACTGTTCCTGCTCTTCTTTCTTACCTTGCAGCTTTGGGTAGCATGCATCCTCTACAACCACCGCCGCCGCCATGACAGAACACCGCCTACCGGTCAAGCAGCTGGCCATTCTCTGTACGTCCGCTCGACGCGTCTTCACCTGTAAGCTTGCTAACTTCGCGACAGCACTATGCCGGTTTGCCGAGCCCATCGCCCTCACGTCTGTCTTCCCCTACGTACCGGAGCTCATGGAGTCCTTTGGCATCCCCAAGAATGATATCGCGCGCTGGGCTGGTATCTCGTCCTCGGCCTTCTCGCTATGTCAGGGCTTCACTGGCCTCCTCTGGGGCGCTGCATCCGATCGCTATGGGAGGAAACCGATTATACTTTTTGGCCTTACCAACACCATGTGGTCGATGTTGCTATGGGGCTTCTCGCTCAATCTGCCCATGGCTTTAGCCGCACGCGCTATCGGAGGACTATCGAACGGGTACGTGGGCATACTGCGCACTACGGTGGCCGAACTATGCCCATGGAAAGAACTACAACCGAGAGCGTTCAGTGTCATGCCTTTGGTCTGGACAGTTGGTGCCACGTTTGGACCTACACTCGGTGGAGCCTTGGCCAATCCTCTCCGCGTAGATCCTCGCAAGCCTAAAGGCACCGCTTTCCTGGAGAGGTTTCCGTACTGCTTGCCTAACATTGTGGCCGCCGCATTATTCACTTTCGGCATTTCAGTAGGCTGGCTGTTCCTACAGGAGACCCTGGAAAGCAAGAAGCACGCTCCAGATCTAGGCCTGAGAACTGGGGCTCGGTTGACAGCATTTGTTCGCAAAATACTACACCTTCCAACCAAGAAGCAGACCAGCGGTTCAGAGTACGAGCCTCTACTTGGTCAGCATAAAGTGATCGACAGCGAAACGAGGTCGCAACATGATGCTGCTCATGAAATCATCCCAGAAAAGGCACCAAGGTATCGGGATGTATTGACATATCAGACATCGCTTAATCTGATTGTGTACACGCTACTCGCTATGTACCTTCAGGCATATGATCAGGTGCGTGATTTTGTGCGCCTACTAATTATTGATATTGATCCAGTGCAGCTGCTTCCAGTGTTCATGCATCACCCTGTACAACTCGCAGACGACCCTACGGTATCGCTTCCTCTGAAATTTGCAGGAGGCTTCGGAATTGAATCCCGTCGCATCGGCATCATTTTCACCGTGTTCGCCATCTCATGCACTGTGTGTCAATTCCTGCTGTTCCCACCCATTGCGCGCTACCTCGGTGTTGTTCGCTGTCTTCGGATCGCCTTTCTCATCTTCCCATTTGTGTTCTTCGTCACACCGTTTCTGTCGCTTATCCCAGATCCAGTCATGAGGGAAGTCGCTATGGTAATGCTCTTAATGGTCAGAGGCCTGGCTGGCACATTCTCATTCACCACCAGTACAATCATGCTCACGAACAGTGCGCTTAGCCTACGTGTCCTAGGCACCGTCAACGGCCTGGCTACTAGTTTTAGCTCTTTTGGCAGGGCACTAGGTCCTACCTTGGGGGGCGGGTTGTTTACTTGGGGTGTCAAGCGCGGCTATGTCATTGTGCCTTTCTGGACAATGTCTGCCATTGCGCTTGCTGCCTCTGTACCAACTTTCTGGCTAGTCGAGGGTAAAGGGTTTGGAGGCGACGAAGAGATCAACGACCAGGAGAACACCATCGAGACAGAAGAAGAAGTGGTTGGAAACGACGCAAGTGTACCTCCAACAGCCTGGCAGCAAGATGAAGCAGCGTTTTCAGAGTCGGAATTCGGCGACTTTGGTGACCCACCAAATATCTTGAGTCTTACAACTACGCGATCGAGCGTGGCCATGGCCTCCGATGATGAAGACAACGCTTCGGTGTCTGTGGGTCAAGGGCAGTCGGTGAATCCTTTGGAGGCGGCAAGAAGTCATTCGCAGACCAGAAGACGAAAGATTGTAAGGAGGACGTCATCGATACCGATTGGTATGGGTAAGGGATTCAGGCGATATAGCTCTAACCTAGGCAGCACGGGTATCGGCGGAGGCGGTGCTAGCTGGGGAGGCGCATAAATCTGTACTTTTGGGTAGGAATCTGTGCATTACTGGGTATTCTGGAAATAAGCATCAATCCATGACTTCATTAAGCGCATCGGTTTCAAGTTGGTCCACATTCCGTGTATGTCAATGACAACAGTGCTAGTGATGTGCTAAATCTCGATACACTTTTTCCCCCATTCTGTCTACGATTTTATTATTCAGTCCTACATGAGAGTGTAGTGATAATCACTTCGAAATCATCCAAAGCAGAATGTTGAGTATGAGCGAAACGTTCAATTACAATGTACAGACTACTGTTATTTTGTCATCCAACCTGCCTACGATGTGTCGTAACCCATATTTGACCGCCTAATTCATTAAGGATCATATACCAACGCCCCGTACCACCGTATAACTAGACCATACCAGGGTATCTGATACTCCACGATGAACTCCACCCAATAATCACGCAGTGTCCCCCGCGATACCTCCATAGCCCAGACCCTATTAAACGATAACGTAGTCAGTATCCTCATCCCAATCCCCGATGCTACCAGCATCAAAGTCCTCGCTGAACGAAGAGTCGTCGGGGAAAAGACTAGAAAGAACGATACGATGCAACGTTTCTCTTCGAAGTTTCCACGCAGCCATGCGGGGAAGAGTATGGTGCTCAGACTATGAGCCTTGGCCAACATTGTCCATACCGCCTCTATTGGGCATACCAAAGGGATTCCTGTTATCGCTGACGGGTGTGCTGTCGTGCTTATTGATAGCTGCATTGATAGGGCCATTGATGCTCGCGTTACGAACGGGACCGCTCATGCTATTTCGGCCGTTTACGGGGTTGCCGTGGATGTTTTTGGGTACGCCGTTGTTGTTCATGCTAGGGCCTGGCATGCTGTTGTTCCGATTGTGGTTGTGGACCCCGTTTCCGTTGATTGCGACGGGAAGTCCGTTGGGCATGTTGTTATGCATGTTGTTCTCCAGGCCTGCGCTCATGGGGCCGCCCATGGGTGGACCCATTCTCACGCTCTCGTTGTTATCACCCATGTTGTCGACGTCGGGCCAGAAGCGCTCTTCTAGCCAACACATTTGTCGGAAGATTTCTTCGCAGCGCGACATTTCCTCTTTGCCATCGCGTGTAGTTGTGATGTTTGCTAGCTCATCGACCAGCGCGCGTGTCGCCTCAACGAATTTGCTGAAGGCCGGGGAGGTCCAGTTCGGTATTAGGGCTTGGTGGAGGGCGACGATGTGCGAGTCAGTGGAGGTGTTGGAGAGAGTATTGGAGAAGGAGGCGGCATATTGCCAGGCGGAGCGATAGCACTATCAGACATTAGCTTCGTGTGCCCATTACTGGGTTGAGTTGGACCTACATGTTCGCTTGCCCATAGCACGACCATACCCTCTAAAAGTGACGCGCTCGCACTACTAGCGCTCACGAGAAGATCAAGCATGGCGCGCGTAATAGGCGTAGGCGGTTCCATGCCCAGCGCAAGCCCATACTTGGTCGCGGTGATCTCGAAGAACTGCATCTCTCTTCGCATGTTGTTCAGCGCGGAGATGAGTAGGTCCATGGTGCGATACATGGGATGGAACTGCGAGTTCTGCGTCTGCGGCAGTCTTATCTTGGCCAAAAGCTGTCCTATGAAGCGAATGTAGCCTCGCGCATAGTGTCCGTCTTGTACCAGCCATTGCGACAGCGGTCCTGCTCCTAGCGATCCACAACCGGCATGCGACAGGAACGGTCGCTGTGTTGCTTGCGCAAATGGGCCCGAGCAGATGCTCAGGAGATGAGACGTCAGAGAAGGCGCTACATTGGGTGTCATGGCAATATTTGGCGCAATAGGCTGTCCATCGCGTGTGCGCTTACTGTTGGGACCGCGCCGATTTACTTGGAGGTTTGGATTTGGCTGCTGTCCACTCAGAATTTGACTGGGGCCCGGAGCCATGTTTGAATCCATAGGCAATCCATTCTGCTGAGGCGGCTGCTGTTGTTGCTGCTCCTGCGCGAGAAGATGGGCCTGCGCCTCGGGCGACGTCAGATATCGCTGGCAGTCTTGGAGATGCTCGATCTGTCGCGTTGTGTTCTTCGCGCGCACGAAGCCGCAATGCAAACAGCGTACTTTGTTACATTTCGAGGGCGTGTCTTGGTCCTGAAACTCTTCAAATGCTCGCCTTATGTCAGGGTTGGCATGTCTGCCCATGGCGGCCTGCTGCCATGATGGACGTTAGCCTCATGGCAGCACATGTCGTCGGAAAAGATACGGAACAAGTGGAGCTCACCTCGAATCGGGCTGTCTCGATGATGTGATGTGTATTGTGTATTGTAACAATCCGGGCGGGTAAGGTATCGCCCCTCACCGAGGCATGTTAGGCGGCTGCGGCGCCTTACCTCAGCCGACATTGCCCAGATGGACCTGCTCTCCTCCGAACATGTCTCCGGCTGCACCTGCCCTAGAGGCGTCTGTAATTTTCTAGTTGACACTGGCAGGGACCAAGTTGGATACAGTTTGGCTAGGCATTAGACGTTGATGTAGTTTCACGTGGTCGACATGTGCGTATCGTGGGCATCGTTAGTAACCCGGTTCTGTTCGTTAGGTTGCCGCCAGCGCCTGTGCACGCGAAATCTTTCCGTAATTTCAATCGGCGGCCATGCAGCGCATCGAGAACGCCTCCGCGTGACTTGCACCATGCCTCTGAAACTAAGCATGCGCAACATTGTACGCCGAACCTCCAACTGCTCGAGCAAGTACCATCGTCATCCAGTCGCCATGATGTGTCGAACCGTCTTGTCCCAAGTCGCATGGCCTGAAAGCCCCCGAGGCCGTCACTACCCGCGCGGCGACTCTGTCCACCTTCATCACGCGACGTCTTGACCCAAACTTCACTCACGATGCTTCACACTACCCCACAAACCTATGCCGTCAGCTTAACTCGTTCCAGTAGTCCAACCCGCCCGCGCATCTCCGCACCCCATCGCACGATGTACTATGACTGATGACGCTGCGCAGCTAACTGCCACCTTGGTAGACTAGCAGGCCGGCAGACGAATCCTCGTCGGGTACATCAACCTCAGCGAGCTTTGGGCATCCACGATGGTCACTAGAAAAGTTCTGGCAGTCACACGCCCTCCCATGGCTCCGACGATCACGCTCGTAGATCTACTGCCGACTTCGCCAGCGCCTGGAAAGGCATCGTGCCACCTTCCCCGCATCAGCCAAGCTTTTCGCGATCGCGCGCCGTTGCACGTTTATACCCGACAATCGTGTCTTGTCAGTAACCTGGTAACGACATCACTTAGGCAAGCTGCATATGCGTCCGGTGTGTCGGGGGCGAATCTCGTGATGTGCAGAAGAGGAAGTTGGCAATGTACGGTGAAGAAGATGTTTGCGATTGATGACGTCGATGCTTCTGGGGGCTCATCCTCCTGCTGCCCTATTGGCAAGCCACACGGTTTGCCTCGCATGTTGGACACCACGGCACGAAACAACTTGCTTTTACAAATGAATGTCGCCTTTAGCCAGTTGGCAAGGCAGAGGTACCTGTCTCAGCTTCCAGGTACCACAGTCCTCTACATGTGGCAAAGATCACTGCCCACGAGAAGGCATGAGTCAGATAATGGCATCATACCTCCACCATGTTGGAAGAACTTCGGCCTCGTGGGCCTTTTGCCCGGGGACAGCGTGTTTTGCATGTGGACGTGTTGCCGATCACAGAACCACAACGAAGGTCTGCATTTGACCTTCCCCGCAACAATGCCGCTTGCAGCCCAGTCTGCATTCCTAAGCCGCCCTGTGTGGACGAACGTACGACATCAGATGCTCAGTACATACCAAGGGTACTCCGTGAAGATATCGGGAAACGCCCGAAGCAACGTTACACGAACTTGGCCGCAACCGGATTTCCATGTTGTCGACCATGCTCTTGACAAGTCGGTGTTGGCAAACGCCAACTCACTTCCAAGAACCCACCGTCCACGTTCCGGTGTATCACCACGCTCCTCGGACGCGGTTCCAAGCTTCTCGAAGATCGTCTCCAACGCGTGAGCACCGCCTCGGAAGCTAAGTGGCTGAGACACGCCGATCCCCACATCATAGCCATCAAACAGTCCTCCAATCACCACGCTGTACCTGAATATCCCTTACAATTTCCGCCAAGCACCAACCCTGCATCTGACCTCTTTGATCCGCCTGACCCCAGATCTTTTGCTTTATGCTATGGCCTGCCGAGGCCCTCAGGGTCCATTTTACCGTAGCTTGCTGGCGGAACCGGTCTTTGTGGCGGTTGTCAAGCGGCTTGGGGTAGCTTCGACTTGCTTCCCCTATTGGAGCTGTTGCGTCACCGCGTCATTTGCCAGCGATGTCTCCGTGTCCGGAGTAAGTAACGATGTACACATCGTTCCGACACTGCTCGATCGCGACATGTCGGCGGTACTGCGGTTGGTTGCCTTGGTTGCCTTCCCCGACACCGCCCTAATGGTGGCCAGAATAGCTGTCGCGGCTAGCTGGGATAGAGCTCCGGGAAAGGAGATCATCCCTACGTCGTGAAGCAGCGAACACATGCTTGTATGGTGGGCATGACTGGGAAGAAAATTGGGGCGAATTTGTTGCTGTGTTGGCGGCTTGTGAGTCTTCGCTTTGTTCTGGTTAAAAGGAGATCCTTCCCCCGATGCCATGGGTCTGCACAAGTTCAAGTCTGGGTCCATCAGCTACACAACCTTTCCTGTACTCCTTTCGAGTACAATTGCATGTTATACAGCATTCAGTTAGTTGAGTAACAACACTCCTCATCTCAATATGATCGGATCCTGGACATCAGCGGCGGCCATTGGCCTGCTTGCTCTGAGCACAAACGCATCTCCGCTCCTGCCCATCAAGCGCGCACCCATGTTCGATTACAACAACCAGAAGGTCCGCGGTGTCAACACAGGCGGTTGGTTCGTTCTCGAGCCCTGGATCACACCCAGCATGTTCGAGGGCAACAGCGCAAAAGACGAGTACACACTCGTTGCAGCTGTCGGCAAGGAAGAAGCACAGTCGAGGCTGCGTGACCACTGGAACTCTTGGATCACCAAAGCCGATTTCGAACAGATGGCCGGTGCTGGTCTGAACCACGTTCGAATTCCAATTGGCTACTGGAGCGTACTCCCACGTGACGGCGACCCATACCTGCCAGGCGCGTACGACAAGCTCGGAGAAGCGCTCGACTGGGCGTCCGATGTTGGTCTCCATGTTATGATTGATCTTCATGGCGCACCCGAATCCCAGAACGGGTTCGACAACTCTGGCAAATACGGCAACGTTGGCTGGACTCAGGGCGATTCGGTGGCCTACACCATCAAAGTCCTCAACAAGATACGCGATGATCACGCGTCGCATCCCGCCGTCTCAGCTATCGAGCTTCTCAACGAGCCTCTGGGCCCCAGTCTCGACATGAACACGGTCCGACAATTCTACATGGATGGTTGGGGCAACTTGAGGGACTCAAACGTTGCTGTCACCTTCCACGATGCTTTCCAGGGTGTAACTTCGTGGGGTAACTGGGGTGCTGGAATGTGGAACCTTCTCCTCGACACTCACCACTACGAGATCTTCGACAACTCTGCTGTTGCTATGAGCATCGACGACCACGTCAAGACCGCTTGCGACTTCGGTAACCAGATGGCATCTACCGGCAAGTGGACTATCGCTGGTGAATGGACTGGTGGCATCACCGACTGCGCAAAGTGGCTCAACGGAAAGGACAAGGGTGCGCGTTACGATGGTACCTTTGGCGGCTCCAAGGTCGGTGACTGCACGGGCAAGTCGACTGGCACTGTTGCTGGCCTGTCAGAAGCCGACAGGTACAACGTTGGTCGCTTCATTGAGGCGCAGCTTGACGCCTACGAGAAGGCCACCGGCTGGATTTTCTGGACCTGGAAGACCGAGGGCGCACCCGAATGGGACATGCAGGCTCTCTTGGAGGGCGGTATCTTCCCCCAGCCGCTAACGGCACGAAAGTGTAAGTACTCCTTCTGGTGTCGCATGAGCATGAAACTGACAACCTCTAGACCCCGGCCAGTGTGGCTAAGTGCCTCGTTGTTCATGCAACGTCTACTTGGCGCGATCCTACTCTTTTTCCCGTCCTTCATGCACACACACTCGCTCCGCCGCAACACCTTCTACTCGACACACCGACCAGTAATGACGTAACGAATTTCATACCGCTTCGAAGATACCCCGACGACGCATTCACTCGCTAGATGGGACACCCACATACAGTAGGGCTGTCCATGCTTGTATCGGCTGACACAGCTGTCACCGTCGCACCGCCCATTGAGCTGTTGGCTGGGCAGGGTCGCACCTGGCGCAATGTAAATATGAGACGATAAACAAATAGTAGAGTCAACAATGCAATGGAGAAATTGAAACAAACGCAAACTATCGTGACACGTCTGAGCTGTGAGTTGGATTACTTTGTCCAGGTTTAATGGGGTGAAGCGGTGATTTTGCGGGCTGACGGGCTTGTTCGCGGCTGCCGCGCCCGGCCCAAGCCATCTCGCTCGCACCTGCCCTACGGTGAGATGAATGTCTGTGATGTGCAGCCTCGCTTAGACGGCGATGCGTTGAGCCAGAGCGCACGAAGGTGCGACAAAGGGCCAACCTAACTCTCCCTTTTCGGGGCCTGTTCGTGAGCCAGTGGCGCCTCGACGGCCGCCAGTGCAACGGTACCTGAGCTAGAGCGCACGACTCGGGCACAAGCAAGCAGATCGCGTTCCACGGCTTGCGAGAATCTGGAGAACCCTCGCCCGCGCATCGTGACACCGCCTCACCGCAAACTCAAACACCGCGATGAAATGCGACCCTCATCTCTTCGGCGTTGAGCTGTCGGCCCTTTAGCTGTTAGGGCTGTGTAAGCGCCGATATTGCTGACAGTCTGCCGGCTGACAGGAACAACGCTCCTAACCTTCAGGCACCCGCAGACAGTAGCGACAGAAGCAATCTCCAAGCAGCCAGGAATAGCCCGCACCAGCGTCCAACAAGCTGACCGGTAAAGCCACCAAGCACTCCTGAAGACGCCGCAATCCACTGCAATACGAGCTGCCTAAATCCCTCGTCGCGGTGTCATTCGTCACGCGTGCCCAAGCGCGGTGCAATGCGTCCTAGCGCTGGCTCCGAAGGATATTGCACGGGACTGGAGCACCAATCTTAAGTTGCGCCGGCAACAGGGGTACCTGCATTGACCGTTTGTGGATGGGAAAATCGATATAGTTCGACTGACTCCCTCTTGTCTTGTTTCTTCCTACTGCTCACCTTCGCCTAGATATCTTGCAGCCCTCAGAAGACTTTTGTTTTCAGCCCTTCTTTAAGAAACCAGTCACTCATTACCAACCATCTCCCACTACTTAATACTCCATCTACTCCGGTTAATCACCTAATACCACCACAACAACCATCAACATGTACTCCAAGGCTACCATCATCACCTTCTTCGCCGGCCTCGCCGCTGCCCAGATCCACGCTCCCGTTGGCGAGCCCAGTGGCAACCCCATCACCCGCCCTTTGAACGAGGTATGTTTGCACCCCTGAGCGTTGCGCGCGCATCGCGAAACCAAACAAGACCCTGGAAGCTAATGCGCCCCACTAGGTTGTCCCCACCTGCGAGCAGTTCACCATCACCTGGCAGCCAACTACCCCCAACACGGTCTCTGTCCTCCTCCTCAAGGGCCCCTCCACCAACGTCGTCAAGTTCGGTCCTTCCATCGCTGAGGGTATCTCCAACAGCGGTTCCCTCAGCTGGACCCCTGCCTCCACTCTTGAGGCTACCAACGGCCCCAACGGATACGGTATCCAGATCATCGACGATGTCACCGGCCAGTACCAGTACTCCACCCAGTTCGGTATCTCCGCTGGAAAGTGCGAGGAGGCCGTCTCTTCTTCCATGATCGAGCCCAGCAGCGTCGCCGCTGCCGCCAGCTCCACTCCCGCTGCCAGCTACGGAAACGGATACGGTGCTTCATCTGCCGCCGCCAGCCACACCCCCATCCCTCTGCCATCTTCCGTCCACTCCAGCGAGGCTCCTTACCCCACCACCGTCATGACCTCCGCCATGGTCCCCGCCTACAGCACTGGTGTCCACGCCAACGGCACCGTCCCCATGCCCACTGCTGGTGGCAACGCTACCACCTCCAGGCTCCCTGAGGCTACCACCAACGCTGCTTCCGGTGTTCAGGCTGCGCTCAGCTTCGCTGGTGCCGCTGCCGCTTTCGCTTTCATGCTATAAGCGCATTTCCGTACCCCGGATATGTTATTATGTTATGACTAGCATTGGTTTCCTTTCTCTTCGATGATACTCCTGGTCTTCACTCATAGGGTGTCGCCTTCTTGTTTGGTTCCGAATCTGTGCGTTGATTGTGTGCGTGTGTGTGGTTGGCGGTTGTAACTAGAGTGGAATGCGAGTGTTTTGCATAGTCGTCGGCGCGATTGCTTACCCAAAAGGACCTTTTGTGATGCGTAATGGAACCGATTATACCCTTTAGTCACTTTCCCCCTACGTGATGTTCAATGAATTGTGAATATGGACCTCTGCGACATTGCGCTCCAGCCAACAGTGCCCCGCACATCACGCTCCAACTCATGACACATCAGACAGGAAAGGTTTACACATCTTCCTCTCATATAGTCTTACTAGGTAAATGATAAGCAGACGGGGCTGACATTGAATATGTAGTTCTTCAATCCATCATTCGTCACTGGCAGCCCTGTGTTGCCAAGATCACCAATTGAGCACATCAGGCCTATAGACATGATCGTTCAACACACGTTCGAGACCTAAAACCTCTGTCCAAACCATGCGATCACGCCACTGTGATCCATAAGCCGAAGCAATTCTTTCACTCGCTCCCGTCCGTACAGTAACGAGCAGATAATTCTCACTTGACCTGCTGCCTGATGCCCGGGCTCAGAGTCCAATCCGAATACACGCGCGAAGCACATGAACCCTATACACACTTACACTCGCGAACGACTCTTGGCAGTCAAAAACATATCCGCCCTGCCAAGTGATGCTTCGCGGGTATATCCAGTGAACGGACCGCACCCGTCGTACCAAAGCAGCAGAGCGATTGGCTTGATGTGTCAACGCAATGCCCTTTCCCTCCAAACGGATGTTGATGTGTCCGCAATGAGCAGGCAGTGTATCATTTTTGGTATAGTGTTTAGCTAATCTAGTAAGCTTGTGTAGCCAGGCGTATTGTGAACTGCGTTATGTGTCCCTATGCGGGTCGTTGTGCGCTACTTGGCATGCTGACTTTGACGTTGATCGAGCTTGGCGGGATGGCTTATGGAGTGGTGATGGAGTTGAACCGGTGAGAGTAGTTGTTTGAATAGAATGGTTCTTGTGGCAAAGTCTGGAGTTCGTGCCTTGGGTTTGGTAGGCGAAGGTTTCTAAGTTATGGTTTGTTGGGTGCTGACAGACTGCCTTTAACCACGCAAACGAGAGTATCCTTTTCGGCAACTGTCAAGAGTCTGTACTCATATCAAACCGGTCACACTTACCTCAGGTTGACACGTAAGCTTCTGTAGCCAAGCTTCACGAGATTGTTCTCATACGATGGCAACTACTCACTCCATCTGGGCATGTCTCACGACTCCACTTCTTCAACAGTGTATTCAACCGAACCTTGCAGCAGCCAATAATTGTGAGAAGTAAATCCAATTGTATGCTCGAGATGTCTGAGACAGTAGACATCATGATGATCAAAAGCAATACCGGTGTGGTCGACTATTCTCTTGCGGAGCGGACTTAAGAGTCTTCAGGTTGACATGCCAGCATATAAAAGAGGATGGACATCCGCGTCTACTGGAATAAATCACTCAATCCATTCACCTCCAGACCCTCATCTCTTCATTCAATCAACCCAATCCACAATGAAGTACCTCCTCACCACCCTCGCGGCAACAGCCTCACTCCTGAGCGCCGTCACCGCCGACTTCGAGATCTACCGCGTAGGCATCGGCGGCAACGGCATTACCGCAAACGTCGAAGGCTGGCAAGTCTACCAGGACGAAGCCAACTGCGACACTGTGCTAGATTGGATTTGGCCCGACACCGACGACGCGAGTGGCCGTGGCGTCCGCTGCGAAGGCGACGGCTGCGGCCGCTCTGACGATGATGATCCTGCCAACATTGAGATTCTGGAGATGAATTTCGAGGGCTATCACTGGAGTAAGTGTCCTCCTATCCCTGATGTGCGATAGAAAGGGGAAGTGAGAGGCTAACATACGCTTGCGCAATCTAGCTTACTACCGCGACCGCAATGGTGGCGATTTGGTCGATACGAATGATGTGCCTGTTGGAAAGTGCTATCCGTTCCCCGCGGCATTCCTGACGTGTGGCCTGACCGTCGATCGGCTGGAAGGCTATCGCAAGTTGCGCTGTGACGGAATTGATGTCAACGCTGAGCAGATCAACTCCAACCGTTTCAGTCTCAGGGGCCGCAGCTTGCCTGGGCGCAACTAAGTGCGCTTCGTACCTATTGAGAACGTGGTTCAACACCTTGGATTCTCACTTGGCCGGTCGTCCTCTGTAGTTGACAGGGTGGGATATTTGTGGGAGTATTATACATTCGTTTTTCTCATATAGCTCGTACACTCGCTTGGAATAAACAAACAGACGTCTGCTATCTTTCCCTCATGTGATCAATGCTCTCCTCATCAACGACTTAAGTGCCTGCTTGCCATGCCCAAGTCAAAATCCAATGGTTCGCCCTTCCAAGGCGCATCCGCGCCTTCATGAGCTTGATCAAGCGACGGCCTTCCGCTAAGAGAGGTTCGCTGAACCACGACCTCATGCGTGCACCATATCTCGCCATTACCTGTATTCCTCTCATTCGCGCGCCAATGCATCTCGTCCGACGATCTCTTCGACTCCTCCGTGTGCAGCTCCTTCAATTTGAAGCCAGACTCTTCGTCTCCTTCGACAGTAGCAAGACGACTCTGGCTGTGATTTCGGAAGTTGTCCCTGTTAACCTCCGACTCTTGTGTACGTCCGTAGCCGCGGGAGAACGCGTTGTTCTTGATACGAACACT